TCTTTGTGTTAGATAACTGAACTGAAAAGTAAACTGTGGGATATTTTGATATTGTCTTCTTGGCTTCATTTCAAGAAGATATCCTATGTCAAACCACAGTTCTGCATCACAAGAAGTGTCGGTGTGACGTGGCATCTTCACAGGAAAGCTAATGTTCAGTTGTCGCTCTCAAACGAAATGCTTGAGTAACAAGTGGTGAGGCTTGTGTGTTGACTGGGATGACCATAGTGAAGACATGTGACACAGATACACAGATAATGATAGAACAGACTAACTCTTTACAGCATTCTCATGTCGGTATATATAAGAAAATGCAGTTAATTCAATATGACTTTATTTACATGACAGATTATTATCTGAAGACAATTTGTACTGTAAGCTAAAAACCCTACTGTTTTTATAGAGAGAATCCTAGCAACAGACATCCTCTATGAGTAAGTATATGGCAATGGTGGGGGTGAAGAACTCTCTTTTGACACGAGGAGACCTAAAGGAGAACCAGGTCTTGGGAGGGGCAGCCAATTGCCTTGACCAATTTGGGTGTCAAGAGAAGGAAAAGGGCGAAAAGAGGAAGATATAGAGGCAAAAAAACAACAAAGAACTGAGCATGTTAACATCACCGACTTATCAAACTCTAAAACTGAAGCCCAGCCAATAGAGCATCAGTGAAAGTGCCACATAATGCAAAAAAATTAAGGTAGCATTTTGTGTGTTCATCAAATAAACTTCCTGTTTGTGTGTGTTTGTTTGCTTATTTGTATGTCTCTGTGCATTACTGGGTGGGTTGTGTAAGGCTTATATCTTTCTCAAGTATCGAGTGTGGGTGTTATAAATAGCAAGCTGACCTCTCAGGATATGCAGTGTGATGTTTCCCTGTCTTTCTCTTGTTCGTTTTTCTGTCTGTCTGCCTGCTTTGTCTGTGGTTCAACAGGTTCCTGTCTGCCTTTTTGATTATTTTCCAGACATTCTCACTGTCACGCATACCATGCAGTAAACCCATGCGACGTGGTCACAGATCTAGTATTGGTTAGGTTTGAACTTCCACGCTATCAGCTTGTCTGGATGTGGTGACGCTTGAAGCAATGACACCAGACTAGGATGAGTTTCCGTCTTTGGTTGAAATTGAAAATGACAAAAATGCATTTGTGGTTATTTGAGACATGTCCGTCTGTTGACAGTCATGTGATTCTCTAATATGATGCAAAGTGGATTTTTTTCAAAGAAAATTCCCAGTTGTATATTTTTCTGCTTTAAACACTAACTGGTGGTGGACATGGAAACCGTCAGTATAAGCTTGCTTGACTATTCAGCACTTGACCTTGGAGGAAAAGCAGCTCACTGTAGGGTTATGGAAAGACTGAATTGCTGATGCATGTGTATGTGTTCTCATTCCCGTTACAAGGGGAAGACTGTTTCCATTGATAAGAGCTTAGAAAGGTCGCTGTGTTTATTTTGAGGCTGAACTCATTTGTGTTCACTGATATATAAGGACAGATAACAAACCAGGCGTCCAAATGAGAATGGTATCACTAAAAAAAATGTCATAACATTAAACTGGGAACTTTTTGTTTCGTTTTTTTTTATAACTTCATGTAAAAAGAATGTAATTGATTTTATTTGTTCTAACATTTTCTATATGTGGTTAAAATTGGCTGCAAATGAACACTGTGCTCTTTCATTTAACCATGCACACACACACTCACACACACACATTTTTAGCCACTGATTTTAATGGTGCTAAATTGCTGTTCTCCTTGCATAAGCATTTACGCAGTTATAAATTTGTTCCCCTTTTAAAACCGTTTCACTTTTTGTATTTCTGCAGAACAGGTGTGAGCAACCGAGCCGCAGCTGATGGATAATCTGAAGTTTGCGCTCTTCTTAATCATCCTCACCACTGGTAAGATCACCACATCTTAGAGACTTCCACATCTTTATCTTGTTCATCAGAAAGCAAACTGCATTCATGTTGTGCCACTTCCTACATTATACGTTATGTTGCCCTTTTTATAGATATTCTAGAAGAGACATTAAATGAACATGACAGAATTCTCAAAAATATATTAGATTATCAGTTTTTCATAGCATTTCCTTTATAGTATTTTTCTCTATGTGACCTCTGTTTGTGAGCATTAGACAACTAGAGTGCCTCAGATACTAAGGAAATACTTTGCTGACACAGGAGAGTTAAAGTTTCCACTACCAT